TGGTTTATAGACTGATCTAAAGTCTGACCTATAGTCTGGACTATAGACTGATCTATATTCTGGACTATAGACTGATCTATAGTTTGGACTATAAACTGATCTATTGTCTGGACTATAGACTGATCTATTGTCTGGACTATAGACTGATCTATAGTCTGGACTATAGACTGATCTATAGTCTGGACTATAGACTGATCTATTGTCTGGACTATAGACTGATCTATTGTCTGGACTATAGACAGATCTATAGTCTGGACTATAGACTGATCTATAGTTTGGACTATAGACTGATCTATAGTCTGGACTATAGACTAATCTATAGTCTGGACTATAGACTGATCTATAGTCTGGACTATAGACTGATCTATAGTCTGTACTATAGACTGATCTATAGTCTGGAATATAGACTGATCTATAGTCTGGAATATAGACTAATATATAGTTCTATATATACTGAACTATAGACAGATATATAGACAATATGGAGTGATCTACAGTCTTGACTATAGATTGATCTATAGGCTTGACTACAGATTGATTTATACGCTAGATCTACAGTCTTTCTTATAGACCGATCTATAATCTTGCCTATAGACTATAGATTGATCTTTAGTCTTGACTATAGACTGATCTATAGTCTTTACAATAGATTGATCTCTAATCGTGACTATAAACTGATCTCTATTCTTGACGATAGACTGATGTATAGTATTAACTTTGTATTAGTAATAATTTTGAATAAAGGCTGATCTATGGAGTCCATAGTATGGACTTATCTAAAAACTTTCGCTATAAGATGGCAATTTAAGGAAAGAAATATACAGATGTATCTGTCCTAAATAAAATTAGCCATACCAAATAAACCAAAACATTAATCTTATTAAATTTGTTAATGTCGCCATATAAAATAGACCATTAAATATTGAAATTTATTATGATTTTTCTGTTTTTAATAAAATAAATTTTATATGTTTTCTTTAATGCGATATTTTTGCAACAAAAGTATTTCGTATTTATCTTTTTGACATCAAACATTTTAATAAAAATTGAATGAAATACAAAACAGAAAAAAATAAACAATAAATTTTTAAAATAAATGAGAAAATTAAAAAATAAACAAATTTTTGACATATCCATAAACACTTTCCAGAGAGTCGTTGGTTATATAATATGTGGGGGGAGGAGAAGAAGGGAAGTTAATGAAAACATATAAATTTGGCAGTCATGTGATAAGAAAGAAATACAATATATTTTAATTAAATTTAAATAAAATAAAATTAGTGTATTAAAAGACCCGTGATAACATACCCTACAGAAAACTGAATTTTGTTTTAAGTACCATTATCGCAGGCGATTTTAAAAGCTTTTACTGTACCTTTATCTACTGTATACTAAAGGAACCGAAAACACTTTTCTATTTATATATTTGTAGTACAATGCTGTCATTCATATTTATAGGTCTTTTGAAGAAGACCATGTAATTTACCAGACAGTAGCCCATTAAATTTGTCGACAACGAAAAATTTCTTTTATTTTTCTCATCATTCATTTAAGTATTTTTTACAAACTAATTGTTATGAATTCTTCTTGTTAAAATTGCATTTTTTGTCTTCGATTATCATAAAGCTTTTAAGTTTTCTTTGCAATTTTATAAATAATATAAAATAATTTTAATTATTGTTCAACAGGTGAAGAACAAAAATAACACAAGCGTCATATTTGGTTTGACACTTTAAGGACTTAGATAGACCGTCAATAATTAAATAAAATTTACAATTTAATTTAAAAATTTATAACGGAACGTCAAAGGGAAATTACGTGTTGTAAACGAGTATAACAAAATTTTAAATGGAATGCGGGATCGTTATGATCAAATCGAAAAAGTTCTTGTTGATAGTAATGCATTTTCTAAATAACTTTCCGAAATCTAATAGCGACATTTTAATATCCCTGATCAGCATCTATTCGCCCTCAAAAATAGACCATGAATGTCAAACTTCTTTAAGTGAGATTGCAAGGCATTCAACAATAGCACTCTTAGGGGTGAACTTACAATACGATGATTCCTTTCTGGGTCTCGGTCTAAAGTAGTATCTTAAATAAATGTAATAACTTGTAAATGGACAAATGGTCACACTTGTATGATCATCAGTCATGCATTCAACTTAAACAAGCTATCTTCAGAGATACGGAGATCTCAGCTAGATGTTCTTGTGTCCGTGATAACTGGCCATTGTCGTTTCAGAACACATGCTAGATGACTTCACAATAAAGAGAAAAAGAAGACCGGCTATAACCAGACGCTGACACAAGCGTTTTATTATGAATTTCCAATCTCTGTAATGTTTGCTTCCGGTGGGTTAGTAGTTAATGTTCTATTCTGTCAGACAGGAGATCGTGGTTTCGATTTCCACCTGAAGTACAACAGGCCCTATGGATGCCTAGATGTATTTCTTTGACTTTGATGTAACCATACATCCGCCTTTCAAACTGACTAACTAATCTATGTAATATTCATAAAGAATAACTAAATGTATGTATGAATGTACGATTAGGTATAGAATGATACTCAATAAAGCTAATGATACTCAATAAATTGACATAAAGATGTCATATAGACTTCTGGAAGTCTGTGGCATTGATAAGGACACATATTAAAAGGGATTCGGAGTTGAAGAAGCACTTAGGCCCTTGAATTTCCATATAGTACATTCTAGCTTAGGAAGTAACGGTCTGGGATATATACAATTAGGTTGTGTAAGGTTGCAGAGTACTGCAATATACAGTGTAATGAGATCACAAATGAACTAGCCAGGCAAGGACAGATCTGGGCATTAATAGTGTAGTTACGTCGGTGAACGTCCTATTTGTCACTACTATATGTCATTCTCCGATAAATTAGTGATTCCATCTAATTCTGGCACAGTAGAAAGGATTGCTATGCTAGATTGGATAGGAGGTGTATTAGAATACTAGTAGGATTGATAACCGGACACTGCGCAATAGGAGTCTTTCAATTGAGTCGATAACACAGAATTTTTGTAGGTTATGTAAGGAAGAATTGGAGCTGGAGAAAGTGACTGACCTGATCCACAGAGTCTGAGTCGGCATACCTTACCAACTTTTCTGTCTTCCTTTTATCTATGTTTGTTTTCAGTCTTCGAGTTGACCTCAGGATATACAATCCTTTTAAACTAAACTACAGGAATGTGATTTGAGATGCTATACTTCTATACCACACATTACTTCTTGCTTATTTTATTTTCTCCTTTTCTTCTAAAGACTCTCCTCTCATCTAAATAACTTTTCTAAGTTTTCCTTGTCTTTCAAACCTCTTCTCACAAATGGATCTTTCTGGACGCAATTGAAGCTAATTTTTGAATAAAAAGTACAAAATAAATGGCGAGGATCTTTTATTACATGAATGACTCTTCACTAAGAGACAAACTGATTGTGTAAAATGAATAGAATTTGATTGATTAAATTTGATTGACAAAGCACTACGATCTGAGAGAAGATCTTTGGTGCAGATGAATAGAATTTAATATGAAGCCAACAGAAAACTCTTCATATAGTAAACTCTGCATTATATGGGTGTAGGATTGATGCCTACCGGGTTAAGGAATTCAACAATACGGATAATAGGGAGATAGTTGAGTGCAATTGATTGAGACATTTGCCACAGACGGACATTGTAAATACTTCAGTTTAAGTAGTTAGATTAGAGTTAAGAGTTGCACACAGAGTCTTAAAGAGTGAATTCGAACAACGGACAGCTTTAATCTAGTTTATAAGTTTCATTTAAATAAATACTCCTTTTAGACTTAATCTAGTGTGTGTTTATTTAATTAAGAAATGGCATCCAAGTGGAAAAAACTAGGAGAAGAGTGGTTAAAATCCTATATGGGTAGCAGGCCGCAATGAAAAAGTGAATGTACTCGCTCTAATGTAATTGGAAGTCAACCTGACGAATGCAAAACGGTTTGATGGATGAAATGAAAACATGGACAGGAGAATAACATACCGCCACTTAGAATAATCCTATGTGATTTTAGAACGAGAAGCTTCCTTAGAAAGACTAAATCCAAGATTAGTATGATGGTGGGAATTCTCAGCTTTACAAACATAAGTACATATATAAAATTGGACTAACGGATTTAGACGAATGCAGAGCATGCAGAGAAGAAATAAGAAGTAAAGCGCTGGAAAACTTACTCTATCATTGCTTATTTAAGCGATATTATTCCCTATATTACATTCCTTAGCAACACAGATTGAAAAATTTTAAGCAACTATGTTCTGAAAACTGAGTTGGAGAACATTGGACGATTATTCCTTTCATAGAAAGTTATAGAATGTTGTTACCCACATTTTCCATGAATGGAGTGATCAACAAGATAGATAGAGGCGTAGGACTACTTTATTCTGATCTATAGTGTAATGTGAGCTACCCTTTTAAACTAACCTAATATCGATGATCATTGTTCATCGTCAAAGTATGTTTCTATTCATAACAAAGATCCATGTTATCTTTCCTCACCTACTACACTCACCAAGTCAACTGCAGGTTAGTTAGCAGCACATTTTTCATTACAAATAAGTCCCTCAAAGTAGTTGCTATAGGGATACTTTATACCATTAGACTTAGGCCTCAATAGCTCTTCTTTTGTAAAGAGGAAATTTAAGGGTCTGAAAGTCAAACTACATGAATAATTCGAAGTAGTACTGAGGAAGACTTACTATGAACTTCAGAGTAAGAATTATAAGCAAAGTATACAGATTTTTCAATTTAATTCAAACTTCATGTTCCAAAAAGAGTTGTTGCTATTCGAAATAATTTTGAAAACTGAGACAGACCGTTGACTTCTTTTTAGGATTTTTACCAAGAGACATCTTTTTTTTAAGAAATCTTAAAAAGTACTGCTTTCTTAACCAACTAATTTTAGCATTAACTATATAACATTTACATGACAAATCTAAGTAAATATTTCAAAACCTACCTTAAGATCTGAAAGTGAAGCCATTAAATCATCCAATTCTTTAGTTGCCGATGAAGCATATGCCTGATGGGCAGCATTATTTGGTGTAAAAGTATCCTTTTGTTTAACAACTTTCTCTTCCATTTGTCTCACTGTAATAAAAAAAGATAACAAAAGTTATATTGAAAAATCTTGCATTAAAAAATAAACAAAATAAAACATACCTGGTCCTTCGGGTCCAGCAAGATTTTCAGTTTTAGTTTCACGTACGGTAATGGTAACATGACGGCCAGGAGTTGGTGATTTAGTGCGTGCTCTGTGAAATAATGTTGAATTTATAATTATGCTATTAAGTTAGATTATTATAATTTGTTGAAATATTTACCCATTGGGTACAGCATATAAAGAGGCATTATCCATTTCATTTAATAAACTATCTACAGTTGGACGTTCTTCTACGGAAGCATAACTATTATAAGTATTGTATTTAGATGATGGCGTACTATGAAAACCGGATGGACCAGAAGTATCTGTAAAGAAATATGAAATTAAATTAATAATCGATAATAATTTAATTTAGTTAATATATTGGACATCTTATTATTAATTAGAATTTTTATGTTAAGTAAATAGCAATTAACTTTTTCTTGTTAAGATCTAATAGTTTTTCAAACTTATGGATTATTATAATAAGATCCTCGTGTTTAATTCACAACTTTCGAAATTTGTCTCCTCTTTAAATTTTCTAGGGTTACATGTATGTTTGTGTTCTGCCAACTATTGCAAAATTAATATCATTAATAATCCTCAATCAGATAAGGAAACATCTGGGACAAAACATTAGTTCATGTCAAGCAGGCTTTCGTAGTGGATATTTGGCTACATATCACATTAATATCCTACGGTATAGTTATTGAGCAGAGTGTGGAATTTAACTACGAGCTCCATCTACTTTTTAAATATTTCGAGAGGCCATTTGACAACATTAATAGACTATATATGGTCAGCTATATATAAAAGAGGAATACCAGAGAAACAAACATATATTTCTGATTATGAAAATCTATACCCATGTCCGATGCTACATTCTACATAAACTTAAATGTTCGGAACCTTGTATGGTCAAAAGTGAAGTACCACAAGTACGTACATATATTGTCACCTCTTTTGTTTCTGGTGGTAATGGAAGAGGTTTTGAGCTCTATCGAAAACAAAAGCCAGGGAATTCGGTGGAAAATCAATTGTCAATACCTGTGTTATTTGGAATACGCTGATCAAATTTGTTTGCTCTTGCTCAGACTCCGCGATATAAAGCACATACATATGTGTCAATGAGGAACATAGGTGTCAAAAGAGTTGGGCTGCGAGATAGATATTAATGGAGGTTCTGATTTGAATGTTAATAATAGGATCAATAAGCCAAGAGCATGCTTTGATATATTGGCCCCAATATAACAAATAAATAATATCAGCCTTCGCACTAAATTTCGAATTTTTGAAGCAAACTTCAAGTCGATACTTCTTTGAGGTTGTACAACCCGGAAGGTAAGACATAGCACTATCCAACGTCTCCGTTTCTAACCAAGAACTATCTCAAACTCGGTGCTGCTATCGCAAACTGTCTAAAAACCCATAACTATAGTAATAAATGAACGCAAGTGGCAAGGAAGATGATAACTTGGCCAAGCATGCATTGAGATGGAATCCATTTCACTAGTCAGGTCGACAAGCTGGTATACCACATTATACATCGCGATCTTTCTTGTAATCCGAAATGAACAACCCAGGCATATCCTGGAATGAACTAAGAGATGTTGAAAATAACCGGGTACGTAGGCGGTCGGTTGTTATTGCATGCACACAATGCTCCAATAAGAGTTTGATGAACTTATATGCTGGAACAGTTCTTAGGAAGGTAAAGAACTTTGTTTTATAAAGTATCCCTAGACTTGGTCAGAGAGTAACAACTTCGTACAAAAATTATATTTTAGAAAAGTTTTCGATAGTGAATTGCTTTTAAAATTTTGAAATCTTCATGAATTTCTTATGGTCTCTCTAGTATGGAGTTGGTTTAGTTAAAAATAGGCTCTCAAATTAGATTACACAGACAACAAAATTGAAAAAAAGTCAAAATCCAGAGGTCGAAGTAAAGATAAGGATTGATCTGCGCTGAATCCGATTCTGAACATCTGGTTTTTGACCATATTTGTGATTTTATAACAGCGAGAAGACACCATATTCCTAGGTTCTGATTCAGCGCTGCTCAATCGTTTAGAAAACTATAATTTGGTCTCTAGTCTAAAAAATTTGGGGACCTTTGTTATTAGATTCGTTTTGGGAGACATTTAACTCTCCAAAAAGGCTCCAACTCGCCTACTTGTGTTATACCCGCTCTTATGGATCACAGTCATCCATGACCTTTTGTCAAATTAAACTCATTTGGTCACAAAACGATTTTAAACGCAGATGACGTTGCTGTAGCAGTAGCTAGCAATCACCTTGAAACACTTTTTCAAATGTTGGAATAGGCTGTGGTCTTAGTGTATCATATCATAGCAAAGCGGAACATTTACTCTTCTCTGGAGGGTATAAGATTGCCCTATTCACTACTCCTCGTCTAATTTATTATCATTGAATAATGTATTTCTGTAACTTTCTTTAACAGAAGCTAACGTTTCCTTATCTCCATGGAATACTATTCTTTTCCGTCTAATGTCGTATGTTTCTTTATTTACACAGATGATTCACAAACATTGTTGTTGTTACAGCGAGTACAACACAATTTTTAAATAACTTCGGTTCTGCATCATTGAGATCAAAATGTTGTGCAACCTCAACTGGGTGAATTCACAGATGGGGATTGGCTGTACAATCAAAAAGGTTAAGTGTTACCTTCACCATAGGTTGATCATTTGTTAAGGATTGTACGGTCTATACGAGACCAATTGGTATTAAGCCTATTACTCAAACTGATTCTCAATAGTAGCAAAACTAGTCTTGCTTTACGTGGGGCGCGACCTCCAAGCTGCATGTAGTTGTCGTACATACAAAGATCTCTTTAGACATAACTCGGAGGAGCCTCTAAATGCTTTATATTGTAGTTAGAGAGATTTTTCCGACGACATCCCTGAAGTAATTGTTGATCCGAAACAATAATCAAGGTTGGTCGAGGCGTTTTCTTAGAAGAATTTGGCAATCAAGATCTCTTTTAGACTCAATGAAGTATTTTTAATGCTGAAATATCAGTGATTAAGAGGGCTGGGAATTGCCTAAAGTTTTAAGAATTTATACTGACAAACAGGAGTTGTTATAATGAAGATAAGGAGGAGACGATATCACATCTTCTATGTAATTGTCCTGATGTGGAAAAGGATCGCGAACGAACACTGGGCAGGCACTATTATTCACCTTAACAAGGACGTAGTACTTTTCTATTAATTTTATCTTCAGTTCCTCCTTCTAGATTATTCTCCTTCTTGATTACTTTTGTTGGATCAGCTTTTCATTCGTTCCTTGTTAATTTTCTATATTTATCCCCCCTTTATTTCTTATCTACTTTCATGCAGGCAAGCACAAAGCAGCCTTTTGGAACCTAGTGTAACTGTGGCCGTGTATGTGTCATAGCAACATGAAGACTAACTAATACAATTTTCCTAAGTAGTTAAAAGTTTCAGAAACGTAAATTGCGTTTTCCTCAACTAAGTTCAATCCTCTTTGTTGCACTAACTCTATAATAGAAACTACTTAACAAACTAAACCCGTATACCAACCTTTTCTATCATAACCATTGCCATTGTATCTGGCACTGCTCAAGTCCTGCAACAATGAATCCAATTCCGACAAATTACTAGCCGTATTCAATTGCTGCTGATGTAAAGAGGCGGATGTGGGACCCATACCGCCAACATTTGTACCATTGTATTGTTGACGAGGTATGGCTCCTTGATTTTGATAATGACTAGAAGAACTGCTATTGCCAATGCCATTATAACCGCCCAAATGATGAGGTTGGCCAGCAGAGGGTGATACCGATGTGCGTGTTTCAGAATAATGTTCTTGATAAATAGGCTAAATATTTGAAGAAGATAAATAATTAATGCCTTTTGTAAAGAAAGAAAACAAAATAAATGAATGACTAACCTGTGTTGGTGGTGGAGCTTTGCCGCGAAGACTTCCATAGCCAGATGAAGATTCAATATAATTGTGCTGTTGCTGCTGCTGTTGTTGTTGTTGTTGATGATGTTGTGGCTGCGGTACTTGACGTTGTTGTTGAACCGATGTCACTGTTTGTGTTGTGGCATAATGAGGCTGCTGTTGATGTTGAGGTTGATGACCAGGCACACTATTTTGCAAATCGGCAAGTAAAGCATCTGTAACAGAAGATTAAAGGGAAATAAATACTTGATTAATCTTTGTTGTAGGAATTTATTGTTATTACTATTATAAGTTTATAAATAGAAATTATTATTATTATTTATGTCTGTTTTTATTAAACCAATAACAGCAGCATTTAAGGGAATTATTTTGAAAAAAAAAAAACACTATACCCAGATTATCATAATCGCCGGAATTACTCATATTTTCAAATATATATTCAAACACAAAGTGCAATTTCTTAATTATAGTTATTTATTATTATACTTTTTTATTATATTAATTTCTTTTCAATTTCTATAACAGTTCTTTAAAACATTCCGTGCATTACTAATCATTAAAATAAACTGAAAAATTGTATGTAACCAGAATTGAACCGTTTAAAAAAAAAAAAGTGAAAAATAAATAAAGCTCACACTTTTTTATCTTTTCATACCACATGCACGTAATAAGTTTTTTATTTTCTTATCAGTGCGGTACAAACGAGTACATGTTTACGTTTACCGTATGAAAATAAAGGTGAGACATTCAAATATGTATGTATCTCTTCTGTATGTACAACTTAAAGTGCAGAGTATAGTAGTGGCAAAGATAGGGAAGGGAAGGGTTACTGAACCAATAGATAAAAGAAAAGGTTTCAAACGCCCATTTGTTTTGGGGGAATCAGTGGTGGGAAATAAGAATTTTGTTTATATTAATAAGTTTGCAACTTTATCGTTATTTACAGTTTATTGAGCGAGTGATGCCTGATTATTTAGTTAACTAAATGACCATTAAATAAAGTTAAATATCTAAAATTTCCAATACTCGAATCATTGTTTTTAAAGAAAGGCTTAGGTTACGGTAATAGGAGGTCATATACTGCATCAAGACCTAGGTCACTATGGATCCTGTTGAGCGCTTCTTTTCATGGAAAATGTTTGCTGATAAAAACAAAAACCTTATATAGTGATAACTGATCAATAAAGCTATCACCCAATGTTCAGAAACTCATTTTCATGATCGTAATTGCTAAGACTTAATAGACTTTTAAGACCATTGACTGAAGCTACACATCTGGCAACCTGACGATTACAAGAAATTCAACCATTTTATCGACGATACTTCAGCTTGAAGAATGCTACATTGATCAATAAATTTGAAACTTATTTTGAAACCATCACCAATTTTAGATCCATCTGTATAGATGCTCATATAGGTTTCTAAAGTGGTTATGATTTCTTAGTTATTTAAAGAAATAAGTCATCGAAAACATTTATAATAGAATGGTTTCGGATTACAATAGTCATCATTGGAGAAGGCAGGTTCTGGTACGGACTGTGAAGAACTGTGTGATATTAAACTTAGAAAATCTCTTTTGATAACATCCCAAGGGGAACTGTTTTTTCACTCAGCGATCGATATTTCATCGTCTATAAACACCGTAATTACATCAACCAAAAAATATAAACAAGGTCAACCTATTTTCGCTGCATCTGATCGCTTTATACTTGCTGGATGAGGCTAGATCCGCAGTACCAACCCTGGGGACCCACTATTGCAAAGATGAGCAAAGATTTATCAATAAGGACTAGCGAAATAAATGGTTAGATCATCTGAGGTTTTTAAACCTAAGCTCGGAAGTCGGTAAGTTGCAGTCCAAGGTCCGGTCCCACTTCAACCCATCGAAGAAGGACGAGAAGCTAGCAACAAAGTTTTGTAAAACACCATGTCACATATAGGCCAATATCCATTCTGTTATCTATCGTGAAAACACATCAAGCAGCACGTCATCGAGCATCGGGCTTCTGTAAAATGTATATTATGAGTCACCTTAGCATTAACTGTCATTATTACACAGATCTCACAGATCTTAAACCACCAGAGGTCTTGTGAAAGATCCCTGTTGTGCTCGATTCGAAGACTGTCGCAGCCATGCCACACTCTTTGAAGTTATCCTGCTATTCAAAATGTCCTACAATATTGTAAACTATTTGAGCAGCCTCCAGTTGTTTAAAACCCTGTAGAATTAAATAAGTTCAAACCACCGTAAGGTTCTAAGTGGTGCCTACACAACATCAAACTTAGTCCTAGAATGCCGGGCAACCCTTAATGAGATGGAGAAACATTCCACAATAGGATTGTACTGGATTCCAGGACATCAACAAATTCCTGGTATTACCATTGCAGACTCTCTTGCCAAGTTGGGTTCCTCACTTGCAAGAGAGCACACCGACCCTTTCGTCGGCATACCGCTTTCTACCTGCAAACACTCTATACGAGAGCTTGCGCATTGAAGATGGTCGACTGAGGCCACCCGTAGAGAGGCAAGGATCATCATTCAACCCACAAACTCCTGATAATACCATTGCGGACTCTCTTGCCAAGTTGGGTTCCTCACTTGCAAGAGAGCACACCGACCCTTTCGTCGGCATACCGCTTTCAACCTGCAAACGCTCTATACGTGAGCTTGCGCATTGAAGATGGTCGACTGAGGTCATCTGTAGACAGGCAAGGATCATCATTCAACGCACAAAGACCTTCTCCATATTCCGAGAGTCAATCTACGGAACTTAACGGCGGCGGTGACTGGTCATTGGCCTTTCGGGGTCCATGCAAGAAGACTAAACTTACCCAGTAATTACTTCTGCAGGAGCTGCTCTAGCAGATCATAGAATGAGTCTTCTAGGTAGAGTAATTAGGTCGAAGTGTACAAATACGCTTACCGTTTTCTCTCGTTTCAGGTATCACAAAGGGATCAATATACTCTACCCAAGTGTGTCCCCAGTGAAGACATCGTGAGGACCTAACACCGTTGAGTTAATAAAGGAGTTCCACGGGGTGGTATCCTATCCTATCTTATCCAATACAGTTTAACTATTACCTCCACAAAGACTATAGATGATCTCTTATGTGTCTGACTGGAGCATTATGATCCTATGCGATCTGGCAAATTTCTTCACTGCGAGGAACCTGAAGAAGCGCTTTTTTTAAAACTTCACCTTTCATTAATTTTGAGTAAATCCACGTCGTGTTTATTCAATAACAGTCGGAAGATAATATTCGAAACTCGATCATCTCTCAATATCAAAGAACCACCAAATATTAAATTTCTCATTATTATTTCTTATTATACTTCGTAAGTTCCTAATTGTATAGTATTTCAGAACTTTGCAACTGTATTTCAGAAAGTTTGGCTTGACTTCGGATAGCCAAGTTGCCGATTGTGTAGATTAGCAGTAAGCAATAGTTCGTTGTTTTTAGTTATATGACAAAAATATTCTCGGCAGTCGCTTGTCGTTTGCGGTCACAATTGTATTCAAGTCGTAATACATAATGTCGCTAACTTAGTAATTATAAAATAGTTTAATTGCACAAATTATTTTCTAAAATCCTACAATATCTTTAAAATTTGCAATAATTTCCTCATTTCACAATTTCACACAATTATAATTATTACACGAAATAGCACAAAAAAACTTACCCAAGCGTCTTTCGAATTCGCCCACTTTAAAACAATCAGTAGGGGTACTATAAAATGATGATGACAAAAGTTTTGAAGACATTTTTTCCTAAACTTTTTTTATGTAATTGTAATATTTTTTTTAATTCCTACTTAAAATTCTCACACTTTTGGCGGTTTTCTTTTTTTTTTCTATCACAAATCTATAAATAAAATATTTCGTTTTAAATCCACGATTTTTTTTTTTAAAGCAACAACAAAAATTTGTGTTAACGGTTCAATAATCCAGACAAAAATGGTATTTTGTTATAAGACAACGAGACAAAAACACGAATCAAACCAATTAAGGAATTGGATATTCAAACATTTTTCTTCAATTTTGGTGCAAAAAAAAAAATGAAATTGATTTTATAGTTTTTGATGGTGGTGGCGGCAATGGTTGTTGGTTGTTAGATAAATATATAGACCAAAAATAAAATTATATTAGATAATCATCTAAAATAGTTTTATTTCAAGTTAATGAAATTGTAAAAACGTTTTTGTCGTCTATTTGCTATTTTTGTTTGTTTTCTAAATGGTTTTAATAGTAAACTTGGCCAGAATCTAAAGTTGTATTACCACATGTATCACTACTACTTTGGAATAAAGTTGTTTTCATTCATTTCATAAACTTTAAGAATCAAGCAGATTTGAGACAAGACACCCACTAGATTCACACTCACTTGTTTATGCAAAACTATAGGTGTGCTTAGGTAAATAGCAGCATATTTGCGTATATAGTTTGAACTATAGATCTGTCTAAAGTCTCGACTAAAAAATGTGTGTGAAGTTAAATTCGAATTTAACTAGCAGAGACACAAACCACATTTTTTAACATTGCTCTTTTTGCAGCTAACAGAGCACTGTTAAGCATTTAACAGAAAGTACATGAAAAATTAAAAATAAACACTTTAAAATTTTCAGAAAATGAAAAACGAAAATTTCAGAACTTAAAAAAATATGAAAAATAAAAAAAATATTTTTTGAAAAAAATCAATATTTTAATAAAAAAGATTAAAAATTCTCTAAAAAATCAATATTTCAATAAGAAAAATGTTAAAAATTCTCTAAAGGATTGGTGTCCAATTTGGACAAATATGGAAATGCACACGTATACCACTATATAGGAGTAGTAGTCTAAAGGGTCCCTAACAGGATTCTGGTAGTCATATGTCTGGAATAGTTTTGGAAGTTTTTTAAAAAATTTTTGAAAAAATCAATATTTCAATAAGAAAAATGTTAAAATTCTCTAAAGGATTGGTGTCCAATTTGGACAAATATGGAAATGCACACGTATACCACTATATAGGTGTAGTAGTCTGAAGGGTCCTTAACAGGATTCCGGTAGTCATATGTCTGGAATAGTTTTGGAAGTTTTTTAAAAAATTTTTGAAAAAATCAATATTTCAATAAGTAAAATGTTAAAAATTCTCTAAAGGATTGGTGTCCAATTTGGACAAATATGGAAATGCACACGTATACCACTATATAGGTGTAGTAGTCTGAAGGGTCCTTAACAGGATTCCGGTAGTCATATGTCTGGAATAGTTTTGGAAGTTTTTTAAAAAATTTTTGAAAAAATCAATATTTCAATAAGAAAAATGTTAAAAATTCTCTAAAGGATTGGTGTCCAATTTGGACAAATATGGAAATGCACACGTATACCACTATATAGGTGTAGTAGTCTGAAGGGTCCTTAACAGGATTCCGGTAGTCATATGTCTGGAATAGTTTTGGAAGTTTTTTAAAAAATTTTTGAAAAAATCAATATTTCAATAAGTAAAATGTTAAAAATTCTCTAAAGGATTGGTGTCCAATTTGGACAAATATGGAAATGCACACGTATACCACTATATAGGTGTAGTAGTCTGAAGGGTCCTTAACAGGATTCCGGTAGTCATATGTCTGGAATAGTTTTGGAAGTTTTTTAAAAAATTTTTGAAAAAATCAATATTTCAATAAGTAAAATGTTAAAAATTCTCTAAAGGATTGGTGTCCAATTTGGACAAATATGGAAATGCACACGTATACCACTATATAGGTGTAGTAGTCTGAAGGGTCCTTAACAGGATTCCGGTAGTCATATGTCTGGAATAGTTTTGGAAGTTTTTTAAAAAATTTTTGAAAAAATCAATATTTCAATAAGAAAAATGTTAAAAATTCTCTAAAGGATTGGTGTCCAATTTGGACAAATATGGAAATGCACACGTATACCACTATATAGGAGTAGTAGTCTAAAGGGTCCCTAACAGGATTCTGGTAGTCATATGTCTGGAATAGTTTTGGAAGTTTTTTAAAAAATTTTTGAAAAAATCAATATTTCAATAAGAAAAATGTTAAAATTCTCTAAAGGATTGGTGTCCAATTTGGACAAATATGGAAATGCACACGTATACCACTATATAGGTGTAGTAGTCTGAAGGGTCCTTAACAGGATTCCGGTAGTCATATGTCTGGAATAGTTTTGGAAGTTTTTTAAAAAATTTTTGAAAAAATCAATATTTCAATAAGAAAAATGTTAAAAATTCTCTAAAGGATTGGTGTCCAATTTGGACAAATATGGAAATGCACACGTATACCACTATATAGGAGTAGTAGTCTAAAGGGTCCCTAACAGGATTCTGGTAGTCATATGTCTGGAATAGTTTTGGAAGTTTTTTAAAAAATTTTTGAAAAAATCAATATTTCAATAAGAAAAATGTTAAAATTCTCTAAAGGATTGGTGTCCAATTTGGACAAATATGGAAATGCACACGTATACCACTATATAGGTGTAGTAGCCTAAAGGGTCCTTAACAGGATTCCGGTAGTCATATGTCTGGAATAGTTTTGGAAGTTTTTTAAAAAATTTTTGAAAAAATCAATATTTCAATAAGAAAAATGTTAAAGTTGATTTTTCAAAAATTTTTTAAAAAACTTCCAAAACTATTCCAGACATATGACTACCGGAATCCTGTTAAGGACCCTTCAGACTACTACACCTATATAGTGGTATACGTGTGCATTTCCATATTTGTCCAAATTGGACACCAATCCTTTAGAGAATTTTAACATTTTTCTTATTGAAATATTGATTTTTTCAAAAATTTTTTAAAAAACTTCCAAAACTATTCCAGACATATGACTACCGGAATCCTGTTAAGGACCCTTTAGGCTACTACACCTATATAGTGGTATACGTGTGCATTTCCATATTTGTCAAAATTGGACACCAATCCTTTAGAGAATTTTAACATTTTTCTTATTGAAATATTGATTTTTTCAAAAATTTTTTAAAAAACTTCCAAAACTATTCCAGACATATGACTACCGGAATCCTGTTAAGGACCCTTTAGGCTACTACACCTATATAGTGGTATACGTGTGCATTTCCATATTTGTCCAAATTGGACACCAATCCTTTAGAGAATTTTAACATTTTTCTTATTGAAATATTGATTTTTTCAAAAATTTTTTAAAAAACTTCCAAAACTATTCCAGACATATGACTACCGGAATCCTGTTAAGGACTCTTTAGGCTACTACACCTATATAGTGGTATACGTGTGCATTTCCATATTTGTCCAAATTGGACACCAATCCTTTAGAGAATTTTAACATTTTTCTTATTGAAATATTGATTTTTTCAAAAATTTTTTAAAAAACTTCCAAAACTATTCCAGACCAGAATCCTGTTAGGGACCTTTAGACTACTACACCTATATAGTGGTATACGTGTGCATTTCCATATTTGTCCAAATTGGACACCAATCCTTTAGAGAATTTTAACATTTTTCTTATTGAAATATTGATTTTTTCAAAAATTTTTTAAAAAACTTCCAAAACTATTCCAGACATATGACTACCGGAATCCTGTTAAGGACCCTTTAGGCTACTACACCTATATAGTGGTATACGTGTGCATTTCCATATTTGTCAAAATTGGACACCAATCCTTTAGAGAATTTTAACATTTTTCTTATTGAAATATTGATTTTTTCAAAAATTTTTTAAAAAACTTCCAAAACTATTCCAGACATATGACTACCGGAATCCTGTTAAGGACCCTTCAGACTACTACACCTATATAGTGGTATACGTGTGCATTTCCATATTTGTCCAAATTGGACACCAATCCTTTAGAGAATTTTTAACATTTTACTTATTGAAATATTGATTTTTTCAAAAATTTTTTAAAAAACTTCCAAAACTATTCCAGACATATGACTACCGGAATCCTGTTAAGGACCCTTCAGACTACTACACCTATATAGTGGTATACGTGTGCATTTCCATATTTGTCCAAATTGGACACCAATCCTTTAGAGAATTTTAACATTTTTCTTATTGAAATATTGATTTTTTCAAAAATTTTTTAAAAAACTTCCAAAACTATTCCAGACATATGACTACCAGAATCCTGTTAGGGACCCTTTAGACTACTACTCCTATATAGTGGTATACGTGTGCATTTCCATATTTGTCCAAATTGGACACCAATCCTTTAGAGAATTTTTAACATTTTTCTTATTGAAATATTGATTTTTTCAAAAATTTTTTAAAAAACTTCCAAAACTATTCCAGACATATGACTACCGGAATCCTGTTAAGGACCCTTCAGACTACTACACCTATATAGTGGTATACGTGTGCATTTCCATATTTGTCCAAATTGGACACCAATCCTTTAGAGAATTTTTAACATTTTACTTATTGAAATATTGATTTTTTCAAAAATTTTTTAAAAAACTTCCAAAACTATTCCAGACATATGACTACCGGAATCCTGTTAAGGACCCTTCAGACTACTACACCTATATAGTGGTATACGTGTGCATTTCCATATTTGTCCAAATTGGACACCAATCCTTTAGAGAATTTTAACATTTTTCTTATTGAAATATTGATTTTTTCAAAAATTTTTTAAAAAACTTCCAAAACTATTCCAGACATATGACTACCAGAATCCTGTTAGGGACCCTTTAGACTACTACTCCTATATAGTGGTATACGTGTGCATTTCCATATTTGTCCAAATTGGACACCAATCCTTTAGAGAATTTTTAACATTTTTCTTATTGAAATATTGATTTTTTAGAGAATTTTTAATCTTTTTTATTAAAATATTGATTTTTTTCAAAAAATATTTTTTTTATTTTTCATATTTTTTTAAGTTCTGAAATTT